AAAAAAAAAGGCAAAACAGCCTTTTAAGGGGTATCTAGACATTGACGCTTAAAGTTAATCACAATTCTTTAAAGCAATAATTGTCTATACAATAAAAAAACTCAAGCCTGTAATATCAAAAAGTTTTAATGTCATTAATAATCAAGGGAGAGAACAAAGGAAATACAAGGCCAGGCACAGTGGCTTATGCATGTAATCCCAGCACTTTGGGAGACCAAGGCGGGCAGATCACTTGAGGTCAGGAGTTTGAGACCAGCCTGGCCAACATGGTGAAACCCCATCTCTACTAATATACAAAAATTAGCTGACCATGGTGGCACATGCCTGTAGTCCTAGCTACTCAGGAGGCTGAGACACAAGAATTGCTTGAACCCAGGAGGCAGAGGTTGCACTGAGTCAAGATCACGCCACTGCACTCCAGCCTAGGTGACATAGCGAAACTCCATCTCAAAAAGAAAAGAGGCCGGGCGCGGTGGCTCACGCCTGTAATCCCAGCACTGTGGGAGGCCGAGGCGGGTGGATCACGAGGTCAAGAGATCGAGACCATCCTGGTCAACATGGTGAAACCCCGTCTCTACTAAAAATACAAAAAATTAGCTGGGCATGGTGGCGCATGCCTGTAATCCCGGCTACTCAGGAGGCTGAGGCAGGAGAACTGCCTGAACCTAGGAGGCGGAGGTTGCGGTGAGCCGAGATCGCGCCATTGCACTCCAGCCTGGGTAACAAGAGCGAAACTCCGTCCCAAAAAAAAAAAAAAAAAGAAAAAAAAGAAAAAAAGATAGGCCGGGTGCAGTGGCTCATGCCTGTAATCCCAACACTTTGGGAGGCCAAGGCAGGTGGACTGCTTAAGGCCAGGAGTTCTAGATCAGCCTGGCCAACATGGCAAAACCCTGTCTCTAATATAAATGCAAAAATTAGCCAGGTGTGGTGGTGCATGCCTATAATCCCAGCTTCCTGTGAAGCTGAGGCATGAGAACTGCTTAAACCCAGGAGGCAGGGGTTGCAGTGAGCTAAGATCACACATCCAGCTTGTATGACAGAGCAAGACTCTGTATCAAAAAAAGAAATAAAAATATGTATTACAAGCTTATTTTTTTTAAATCAAAAAAGTGGTAATATGGCTGGAGTGAAATTTTTCCCTTTTTATCCAACATCCTTCTCAACGGTTATACTTTTAACCTGGTATAAAGTAGGGCTTTTTAAATGATTTAAAAAATTTTTTTAATCTACAAAATGTTGTAAGACATTTTATAAATGAAAGACACATACTCTTCCAAAAATATCAACAAAGAAATCGTGAGAAAAAAATTCCAGATAAAGAGACTTAACAAACATATCAATTAAATGGAATACATGATCCTAAATTGTATCTGGATTAAAAAACAAATTTGCCGTGACACTGAGTTAACCGTAGAAATATTAAATATTCAGTTAAAACTTGAATGTTATTCTTAGCAAATCACACTAAGTATTTAGGAGTAAAGGAACATGATATCAGAAAAAAGTATTTTCATGATTCAAAAGAAATATGAACTAGAGAAAATATTAAAGCAACAATAAAGCAAATGTGGCAATAATGTGAACTGAACAACTGGTGAGTCTAGGTAAAAGAGTATTCAGGAGTTCACTGAATTTATTGTTGCATCTTTTCTCTAATTTTAAATTATTTCAAAATAAAAAATTTTTAAAGGTGAGGGGCCATGTGTGGTGGTTCACACCTATATTCTCAGCACTTTGGGAGGCCAAGACAGGAGAACTGCATGAGCCCAGGAGTTCCAGGCAAGCCTAGGCAACATGGTGAGACCCCATCTTTACACAAAATTTAAAAATTAGCCAGGCATTGTGGTGCATGCCTGTTGTCGCAGCTACTCAGGGAGGCTGAGGCTGCAGTGAGTTGTGCTTATGCCACCGTACTTCATTCAGCCTGGGCAACAGAGTGAGACCCTATCTCAAAAAAAGAAAAAGAAAAAAAAAGAGAGGGAAGACTAGCATATTACTTTGTACATAGTGTATATTTCTGAATTAACAAGTTGCAAAGCAGCTGAACAGAACCATTTACCTAATGGATATGTTTATCAGGCTCAGTGTGAACCCGTTTATTCTAAACATGGGAAGTCGGCGCAGGAGTGGGGTATCAGGGCAGGAATGGTAAGAAATTCAGCAAATCTTCTTGTCCAAAAGGCAAAATTAAAACTGACAAAATTATCAAATACAACCATTTCAGAATTCTAGATACTACCCAAAGGCATATTAAAATACTGAAAAGTGCTTATTCAAAGAAAAACAACAACAACTGAACTTAGGTTAAAAACAATGGGATCTAGGGCATATTAATATTAACTTAAGACTGCTCCCAGTCACACCTCCCTCAGGCCGCTCCCTCCCCTCACTTCCCTGGGCATAATACCTATGAGGAGGGGACTGGTCTGATTTGGGAATGCCAAAGAAAAGCTGTATGCCTCAGGGCACTGAATATATTAGTTATTGCTAGTAATCCAGCAAAGCCAACAGCAAGATATCTGAGGCTGTGACACTGTTGGAGCAAGCAAGAATTCAGACAAAATTGAAAAATTAGATCTAGGGAATGAGACAGCTCACGGAAGTCTGAAAAGCATCATCTTCCAAGATATCTGGAAGGATGCACACATATTCAAAAAGTCCAGTTTATCTGCTCATCTTGGACTGATCTTGAGACCTTTATGTCTCATGAAACAGAAGCAGAAAGTAAAAGCCAATGTAGACCTGTAACAGCCTGAACCTAAGTCTGCTCCATCTCACAAACAGACCCTAGGCTATGCTGACCACTAAGTTATGCTGATTGACCCAAGCAAGACATCTAGGAAGCCAGGCTCAAAAAATTAGGGGAAAAAAAAAAAGGGCAGGGGAAAGGGAGACATGAGGGAGCAAAGACTTGAGTGGCTGCACACTACAGGGAAGACTGACTGCAAAATTAATCTGGCAAGTCACACACACACACACACACACACACACACACACACACACACACACACACGCGCGCGCGGAAACAGCCATTACTGAGGAAAAAGGATTATAACTAGAGTTGCAACAATGTGTTAACATGAGAGAAATCTGACTTCAGAGTTGCATCATTTAATATGTCCAGTTTTCAACAAAAAATTGAGATATACAAAACAATAAGAAAGTATACCCCATTCATGGTGTGGGGGAGGAGATATGTCCAACAGAAACTGTCTCTGAGAAGACCCAGATGTCAGCCTTAGTTTAACAAATACTGACATCTACATCAACTACTATAAAAATATTCAAAGAACTAAATGAAACCATATGCATAAAACAACTATAATGATGACTCAATACAGAATAACAAGAGAAATTATAAAAAAATAAAATAAAAAATAAAAATTCTGGAGTTGAAAAGTAAAATAACTGAGGTAAATATTCACTGGATGGGCCCAGCAGCATGTTTGAGCTGGCAGAAGAAAAAAAATCAGTCGACTTAAAGACTGGTCAATACAGACCATCTAGGCTGAGGAATAGAAAGAAAAAAGAATGAAGAAAGCCTCAGAAACCTGTGGGACACCATTAATTATACCGACATAAGTATAATGGGTGTGCCAAAAATAAAGGAAAGAAAGGGGCAGAAAAAACATATTTAAAGAAATAATGGCTGAACACCTCTCAAATTTAATGAAAAACATAACACATCCACAAACATGGACAAATTCCCAGTAGGATATATTCAAATCCAAACCTACACACATGGTGGTCAGTAGAAAGATAAAAACAAACAGAAAAATCTTAAAAGCAGCAAAAGACAAACAATTCAATATATATAAGGGAAGGAACCCCACACCCAGTAAGATTAATAGCTAACTTCTCTTCAGCAACAATGGAGGTCAGCAGGCAATGGGCTGAAATACTAAAAATGCTAAAAGGGAAAGTGTCAATGAAGAATTCTGTATTCATGAAAACTATTATATTCAATAATAAAGGTGAAAATAAGACATTGACAGATAGAAACAGAGAATTCATTGCTATCACATCAGCCTTACAAGAAATTCTACAGTCCTTTAGGGCAAAAAGAAGTGACATTAGAGGATAACTTAAATTCACACTTTTATAAAGATCATTAAGAATGGAAATTGCATAGGGTAAATATAAAAAGTGGCATAAATATATATATATTTTTTTTAACTAAAAAAGACAACTACAGAAAACATGACATCATGACATACAAAAAAATGTGATATGAGGCCAGGCGCGGTGGCTTAAGCCTGTAATCCCAGCACTTTGGGAAGCCAAGGTGGTTGGATCACCTGAAGTCAGGAGTTCGAGACCAGCCTGGCCAAAATGGTGAAACCCCATCTCTACTAAAAATACAAAAAATTAGCCAGGCATGGTGGCTGGTGCCTGTAATCCCACCTACTCGGGAGGCTGAGGCAGGAGAATACCTTGATCCCAAGAGGCGAAGGTTGCAGTGAGCCGAGATCACACCACTGCACTCCAGCCTGACCAACAAGAGCAAAACTCTGTCTCAAGAAAAAAAAAAAAAAATGTGATTTGATACCACCACCACCTGGAGGGAGATGGGCGGAGGCTATACTAGGGCCAAGTTCCTATATGTACTCAAATAAAAATAGTATTAATATGAAGTTGACTGTTTGCAATAGATTGAGATGCATAGTGTAGTCCCCAGAGCAACCATAAAGAAACCCGGCAAGGGTATACTGCATGTTGAACATATAAATGGAAACAAACTAAACATTGAACAACTCAATTTTTATACTGTAACAATGTAAACTACCTATAAATGTGACATTAATCTAAACTACATAGTCAAAGACTACAGAATGTAAATTAATATACAATTACTGAGAAAGTGAATAAATCCTTCCTTTTATATTTCTTTACAAATAATCCTCAGTAATACTGAGGTGTATTAATATCAGGGGTACATTTTTCTTTACACAATCAAACACTCAAAAGACTGTACATAAAAATCACATTGTTCTCTACATCAGCAGTCCCCAACCTTTTCGGCACCAGGGACCAGTTTTGTAGAAGACAAATTTTCCATGAACTGGGACTGGGGTCAGGGGGTGGAAGGAGTTTGAGAAAGTGTTCCACCTCAGATAATAAGGCATTAGATTCTCATAAAGAGCACACAACCTGGATCCTCCACATGCAGTTACAACAGGGTTCACGTTCCAATGAAAATCTAATGCCCCACGGCTCTGACAGCAGGCAGAGCTCACATGGTAATGCTTTGCAGGCCAATCACCTCCTACTGCGTGGCCCAATCTATGCAGGGAGCTTTTGTTGGGCATCCCTGCTCGACATTAAAAAGCCAATTCTTATGCAAAATACAAATGATACTTTATATAATCCTTAAGATTAGGAAAAAAACTGTTATTTTACATATTTATAGAATTACAACCCAATACAACAGCTCTGTTTTCACAGAAATGCTTTCAAGCTATAAAACCCATGACTAGTCTTTTCAGAATGCACACTACTCTAAAGATTAAATAACACAACCTTAAATTTTTTAAAAATGCATAGAGGCTGGGCACAGTGGCTCACATCTGTAATCCCAACATATTGGGAGGTTAAGATGGGAGGATCTTGATCCCAGGAGTTCAAGACCAGTGTGGGCACCATAGCTAGACCCCATCTCTACGAAAAATAATTTTAAAAAATTAGCCAGGCTTGGTACACACCCCTGTGGTCCCAACTACTCGAGAGGATGAGGTGGGAAGGACTGCTTGAGACCTGAAGGTTGTGGCTACAGTGAGCCATGATCAAATCACTAGGCTCCAGCCTGCGCAACATAGTGAAACCCTGTCTCGAAAAATAAATAGGACAGAGCATGGTGACTCAAGCCTGTAACCCTGACACTTTGGGAGGCTGAGGCGGGTGGACTGCCTAAGCTCAGAAGTTTAAGACCAGCCTGAGCAACACAGTGAAGCCCCGTCTCTAATAAAATATGAAAAATCAGCCAGGCATGGTGGCATGCACCTGTAGTCCCAGCTGCCCAGGAGGCTGAGGCAGGAGAATTGCTAGAACCCAGGAGGTAGAGGATGCAGTGAGCCAAGATTGCACCACTGTACTCCAGCCCAGGTGACAGAGCAAGACTCTGTCTCCTAAATAAATCAATAAATAACAAGCCAGGCATGGTAACTCATGCCTGTAATTCCAGCACTTTGAGAGGCCCGAGGTGAGTAGATCATAATGAGGTCAGGAGTTCAAGACTTGCCTGGCCAACATGGTGAAACCCTACTAAAAATATAAAAATTAGCCAGGAGTGGTACTCCCAGATACTTGGGAGGCTGAGACAGGAAATCACTTGAACCCAGAAGGCAGAGGTTGTGGTACGCCAATATCATGCCACTGCACTCCAGTCTAAGCAACAGAGTGATTCTCTGTCTCCAAAATTAAATAAATAAATACATCAAGCAAGCAAGCAAGCTAGTAAGCTTGCCATAAGCAATTTACCTGATACTTTTGTTAGGCTGAGTGTCACCTTTACAATTTTGCCGTTGCTTGAATCTCTGGCTTCTTCGAAGTTTTTCATTGAATTTTTGACCAATTTTAAAATCAGAAGAGATTTTCTTCATTTTTTCTTCAAATAAGGCAGATAATCTCAAGGTCATACTATAAATCTGCAAGAATATAAAAACAAAGTAGAATTACAAAATTGCCTTAAAAGTATTTAAGAAATAATTGTAATCATTGAGATCACTTGCAATATATTATATCACTGTTTATAGACGGTGGTTGCCACCTATTTTTTCTATTTCCAACGCTCTTCCCTCAATAACATCTGGAAAAAAACAAAAAGTATCACATACATACCTCTCTGTTGTTAAGAAAGTAGTCTGAAGTCAAACATCCAGATTTAGAACTTGTGTCTATATGTCAGTGAATCTTAACTGTTTTTGCCCATTCTGACATCTGTATGTACAAATCAAAACTATACCCTTCTCCTAAAGTTAGATGGGAAGTTGACTGGTTTTAAAGCTGCTAATTGGGCTAAAGAAGTGCTGTGTCTCTTTGGGGCAAGGGAACAAAAGCACTTTTATATACCAGTCTCTATCTGCGTTATATACCAGTCTCTATCTGCGATCTGTTTTCAATGCCACCTAACTCTAAAAAGGAAACAGAAGAATACCTTGCATCCAGTAGTAGAAAATTATAACCTGGAACTTTAATGCACATGAAAGATTTCTGTTTTAACAATGTTTATAATTAAATAACATCAAATCTTAAATAATTTTGGATACAGCTATGTATGTACAGAAATACTCTATACTCTTCCATGGCCATTCCAGAAAATAAGTGTAAAAGCCTAACGCTCAAAAGATAAATATACGCCTTGGGCATGGCAGTGGATGGCCAAGACACTCCAACACTAGAAAAAAAAAATTTTTTTTTTTTTTTTGAGACGGAGTTTCGCTCGTTACCCAGGCTGGAGTGCAATGGCGCGATCTCGGCTCACCGCAGCCTCCGCCTCCTGGGTTCAGGCAATTCTCCTGCCTCAGCCTCCTGAGTAGCTGGGATTACAGGCACGTGCCACCATGCCCAGCTAATTTTTTGTATTTTTTAGTAGAGACGGGGTTTCACCGTGTTGACCAGGATGGTCTCGATCTCTTGACCTCGTGATCCACCCGCCTCGGCCTCCCAAAGTGCTGGGATTACAGGCTTGAGCCACCGCGCCCGGCCCTAGAAAATTTTTTTTAAAAGTATGTGAGATAGGGAATTTCTTACATGCATCTCATACATATACATACATACATATATATATATTACTCACGAATGAATGTCAAATTTGTTATACTTAATCTGAAATAATCTCTGACAATTATTTTCAGTATTTCATATATATAAATTTTATTCTGCCAGGTGCAGTGGCTCGTGCCTATAATCCCAGTACTTTGAGAGGCCGAGCAGGCAGTTTACTTGAGGTCAGGGGTTCAAGACTAGCCTGGCCAACATGTGAAACCCTGTCTCTACTAAATACACAGTAATTAGCCGGGCACAGGGGGAGCATGCTTGTAGTCCCAGCTACTTGGGAGGCTGAAGCAAGAGAATTGCTTGAACCCGGGAGGCAGAGGTTGCAGCGAGACAAGATCTCACCATTGCTCTCTAGGCTGGGCGACAATGAGAATGTCTCAAAAAAAAATGTAAAATGTAAAATGGTACAGCCAACATGGAAAATAGTGTAATGGTTCCTGGAAAGGTAATTATCCTATGACCCAGCAATTCTACTCTTAGGATATACCCAAGGGAATTGAGCAAGGTTTCTGACAGATATGTGTATTCCAAAATTTACTACAGCATTATTCGTAATGGTCAAGAAATAGAAATAGCCCAGCTGGCCATCAACAGATGAATGAATAAGATATAGTATAACCACACCCTTTAATACTATTCTGCCATAAAAAGGAATAAATTTCTGATACATGCTACAACATGCATAAGCCTTTAAGGCATTACACTAAGTGAAATAAATAAGCTGGACACAAAAGGACAAATATGTTAAGATCTTGATTTTTATATGAAATTATCTAGAACAAATTCAGACAAAGAAGTTAGAGGTTTCCAAGGACTGGGGGTAAGGGGAAATTATTGCTTGATGGTTACAGAGCTTCTGTCGGGAATGATGAAAAAGTTTTAAAAAGATTATAAACATAAATGATGCCACTGAATTATATTCATAAAAATGGCTAAAATGGCAAATATTATGTTATATATAGTTAACCATAGTTTTGAACAATTGACAATGTACTATGCCAAAAACCACTGATCTATAAGCTTTCAGTGGTGAATTGTATGGTATGTGTCCTCAAACATATGTATTTGGTGCAAGGAAGACTTGAAATTTATTTTGTCTCTGAAAAGAAATAGTCTTACAAATGGTGACTTGGACAAAAACCAAAGCTTGGAAAAATGTTAGCCTTGAATGTTAAACTAATCCAGCAAGCAGTGTGGATCCTGAATCCAACAAAGAGTTCTCAAATCAAGACTCGAGGCAGTAATGCAGGAGGAGTCTAATATTAAGTAATGATGGGGAAATGCAGTTAAAGCCAAACAGTTAATGTCACCGATTGTAGACACCAAAAAATGTTTTAAGATCAGACAAGTGTTTTACTTTAAATATGACTTTTAAAAATTATTCAACACACTGGCTACATGGAGTCTCGCTCTGTTGCCCAGGTTGAGTGCAGTGGTGTGACCTCAGCTCACTGCAACCTCCGCATCCTAGGTTCAAGCAGCTCTCATACCTCAGTTCAAACAGTTCTCATGCCTCACACATGTAGTTGAGACTATAGGCAAGCACCAGCACACCCAGCCTATTTTTGTATCTTTAGGAGAGAAGGGTCCATGTTGGCTAGGCTGGTCTCGAATTCCTGGCCTCAAGTAGTCTGCCTGCCTTGGCCTCCCAAAGTGCTGGGATTATAGGCCTCGTTAAGTTTTGAAAAGTCACCCAATGTAGAACATGTTAACAATGTAGTAATGTTCTACTGGAAACTGTGTGTCCCCAAATAGTTAAAGAAACCAGTAACTAACAAAAATTCTTAAGTTTACAAGATGACAGAAAAGAAACCCAACCTACAAAAATACTGAAACTCCCTCTGCTTATGAGATAAAAAAGCTGGCTAAAATTGGTGAAAACCAGTATGGCCAAGTGAAGTCTGCACAGAATGAGCCTGCTGACATCACAGCCTGAATTTCCAGCCTGTTTCATACTAACTTCCCCCAAATATGCACACACAACCCATGAGGTAACATAAAGAAATAAATATACATGCCCAAAGACTTTCCAGGTGACCTCTCCTTTCCTTCCACCAATCACCTACTAATCTCAGAATCCAGACCCTAAAACTTTTCTTAAAATAAACAAACAAACAAACAAACAAATAAATAAATAAAATACTACTTTAAAGACAGCACAGGGAGTTAGATTTGAAATTGATTCCTGTCTCCTTGGGAGTCAACTTTCTCTCAAATAAGTCAGCTTATTCTCAAAAACCTAGTGTCACACTCCACTTGAGTAGGCTAGAAGAAAAAAAGAAAAATCCAATGTCATAATATTAGCTTCTAACACATCTAACAAGCAAAGAGCCTCCAATGTCTCTGTACCATTTTTTGTGGTCTTAATCAGATAGCTCATGTGTTGCTTCTTCAAATCCAAATGTTATTATGCTGTCAATAGTCTCACAACACTTCAGAGTTTCCTTTTCACTTTAATATTCTTACGTCTCGATCTATGTTTCCAATCCACTTAAGATCCTTATACATATAAAACAGAGGCTCTTACTCCGTGTATCAAATTTGTTCGCTTTCTACTGATGCCTACTCCCATTAATCCCCACTTGCTTATAAAACTTAAGGAGATTATGATAAACATCAACTGATGTAAGGCAAAAACTGAAATATTTGGGCAGTAGCAGAAGCTCTTTTCTTTATAAGAGTCTTACCTTATTCACTTATCTTTAATGTTCCAACCTCTACTACACAGTGGAAAATTATCTACACAGATCAGGCACACTTTTTTTCAATAAACCACTTAAAAAATTACCTTTGATCTTTTGTTTGGTGTATATGCTTTTGCATTGCTAAATATCAACCGGATGTCTTTGCAAAACTCCAAAGGGCTGTCATAATTTCCTGCATCTAGAGTTTCCCTTACTGTTCCAAAATCCATTGGAGTATCTATAATATCTCTGTAGTCCTAGGTTTTAAAAACAGTAATTAATTCATAGATTCATTTCCTGATTTTAGAAAAGTAAATGCATCAGATCTCTAAAAAATTTGAAGTGATAGAAGGAAGAGAGGAAAAGGTTAGAGGACTCTTAAAATTCATTAATAATGTTTAAAAACAGGTATAAAACAAAGACAAGATAGAAATATACCAAAATGTTAATGATTTATTGCTAGTGTTAACAACAATGGAATAGTTTTTATTTATTTATTGCTGTACACTCCAAGCATCCTATAGTAACTCTGTGCTATTATAATCTAACTTTTTTTAAAAAAGTTATCTTCCAATTTCCCTTTTTAAAAACTGAAAACACACTTTTATCCAATTTATAGTTTTCCTAGTGCTGGGTTTACTTAGAGATCTAAGTAGATCCATCCCATTGTTATATAATACTTGGTTACCTAAGTCTAAATTCTTAAATGAGTTACAAGGGTGTCTATAAATTGAAGGAAACTATGTAAAACAACACTTCTACCACTAACTTAGTGATAAAAGCAAAAAAGTTAACATAAAGCCTAGGTATGTTTCTCTTTAAAGCTTAATACCTCTACCCCAATTTCCTCACTGCAATACAAGAAAAGCCCCAAACATTTAAACAATGGAAACTTACTGGATATTCAACCAAATCAACAGGTTGTCTAAATGGTTCAGAATCTTCACACTGAAAAATTAAGTTCACTAGTTCCTTACACTGTTTCTTCCAGTTGCTTTCAACACAGTTGGTAGCTCTGATGCTTTTTTTCCCATCATGCACCTAAAAATACATTCATGGTCTTAAGAAAAATCACACTATTGGTATAAGACTTTGGTAAAAATGTAATTGATCTCTCTTCTAGAAAAACACAATAATGTCACATACGTTGCTGTCAACATATTAAACTATGCATAACATATTTGTTATAACTTAACCAATTTCAGGAATATTACAAAATTAGCTATGAAAAGCATACTTTAACGAAAGCACATTATCTAGTGAAAGGCTATTCCATGACCTCTCACCTCCCAGGTTTATAGTATTTCTTTTCCCAGAATATGAAGCATATCTGATAATGTGATAGACAGAATAATGGCCCCACCAAAAATGTCCACGTCATAATCTTCACAGCCTATGACTATGTTACCTTACATGAGTAAAGGTATTTTGCAATAAGGGTATAGACTGTGAGATGAAAGATTATCTTGAATTAATTGCTTGGACCCAATATAATCACAAAAGTTATTATAAGAAGGAGGCAGAAAGGTCAGAGTCAGAGAGAGACTGAAAAATGCTATGTTGTTGGCTTGAAGATGAAAGAAGAGGTCCTGAAGCCAAGGTGAGGACACCCACTAGAAGATGGAAAATGCAAATAGCTCTTCCCTAGAGCTTCTAGCCATACGAAGACCATGATAATGACCTAGTGAGGCCCATGAAAACTTCTAATCTACAGAACTATCAGGTAATACGTTTTTTTTGTTTGTTTGTTTGTTTGTTTTTTTTTTGAGACGGAGTTTCGCTCTTGTTACCCAGGCTGGAGTGCAATGGCGCGATCTTGGCTCACCGCAACCTCCGCCTCCTGGGTTCAGGCAATTCCCCTGCCTCAGCCTCCTGAGTAGCTGGGATTACAGGCACGCACCACCATGCCCAGCTAATTTTTTGTAGTTTTAGTAGAGACGGGGTTTCACCGTGTTGACCAGGATGGTCTCGATCTCTTGACCTCGTGATCCACCCGCCTCGGCCTCCCTAAGTGCTGGGATTACAGGCGTGAGCCACCGCGCCCGGCCTATACGTTTTTATTATTTAAGCAACTAAACTTGTCAATTGCTACAGCAGAAACAGCAAACAAATACAAATACTAAACAATTGGGAGTCTATTTAAAAATAAAATTATATGAAAATGGCTACTCAAATCAGACTATTTCAGGTCTAACTTTTCAGTGTTTGGGGGGCAAGAACATGGTATAAATTAATATTTCATAATTAAGGAGCATTTGGAGGAAATTTAAAATGATCTGGGCTAAAATGTCTTAAGCATTTTCATATTAATAACCTTTAATTTTTATATTTGAACTTCAAAGCCTCATGATACCCCACTATGATTACCCAATTTCATAAACTTATTTCCATATACACTTCTCCTTACCCCTCAGCCTCATCTTTCCTACATATCTCCATTTTTTTTAAAAGTTCAACTACCAAATCCTAGTTAGTTTTCCCTAAAAAGGTCTCATAATTTTCCCTTCCTCTCCATTCCAAGCAAATATCCTTGACTAGGTACCCATCCTTCACCCTGTATTCTTGCAATGAATTCCTAATTCATCTCCTTCAATACACATCTTCTTATCCTTCAATTTGTATTATCTATTTTGGCTGTTCAATTGATTCTCTACTTCAAATGAAATCCTTGGATTTCAATATCACCATAATCTACCCCAAACATAACAGCCAGACACAGACACTCTGGTCACTCCAGCATCCAACCTCTACACCAATCAGGTGTAGTGCCTTTAATCATCTATGGGTATGTCTTTTCAGCTTTTTTTAATCTTTCCTGTGGTATCCTCTCTATTTCTTCCAAGGCCTCTTCTTACTCTATCTCCCTCTGAGAATATAGTACAAATCCCAACTCTTCTATTAAACCTTTCTAGGATCTGCATCAACATAACTTTTCAAAGACAAAAACTAAATCCTGAATTGATTTTAAAACAAAGAAAAAGCAAACTACAAAAGTCAACCATGCAGAGTAACTTACTCTCCTTCTTTCAGAAGATGTTTTAGGAAGATCGCTATCATCCTAGGAATAAAATCAGAGCACCTTAAGTATTTAGAATCTCATTAGAAAATAACATAATCTTAATATATAACATATCAAAGACATTTGGTCTTACCAGAGTTATAACATGTTATTAACAAAATCTCCAAAGAAAGACTACCAGATGATCTTTGTGGCACCCAGGCTTGAAAAAAAAACCAATCATTCTTAATAATCCTTTTTCATTCCCTAAGAACATGAACTAATTCTAAAATTCAAAAGTATAACTATAAAAAGATGCTTTATGCATTTCCTAAATAGAAAACTTGTGTTTTGCCTCTATCCACAAATCCCCAGACACTTGCAGATTCCTATAGTTTATGAATTTTGTGTTCTATAGTACAGGCATGCGCTACCACACCCAGCTAACATTTTTATTTTTTGTAGAGACAGAGTCTCAAACTCCTGGCTCATTCAATCTTCTCATCTCAGCCTGCTAAAGCACTGGAATTACAGGTGTGAGCTACTACACTCAACCTCCAAGGTACTTTATATACCTTTCACTAGCTAAGATATAGAAGGAGGTTCACTGAATGGTCTGGCATTATGTTCTATATATCTGACTTCCCAAACTAACACAGACAGCCTCCTTCAAAATAACTTCAAGTTATTCACTTATATTTTAATTGATATTAGCTGAAACAGATTACCTCACAAATCATTTAGAAAATTTAAAATATATTTTTATCAAATGCCCTATTGGTTCATTGGACTACTGCAAGAGCTGGTATTAGAAAGCCAACATTTTTTTCTTTACTTTTTAAAAATACCACTTGAAATTAACAAAAACCATTATAAAATCAACAAACTTCATACCAAATCCTCAGCATTTTGCTCATCATTTTCAGATGTGTTAGAAACTTCTGAGATGTTTGTACAGTGTTGATTCCTAAAACAACAAATTTTCACTTTAAAAATATGCAGATGTAGCGATTTCTTGGCAAAGATTCAAACTATACATTAAAATGTAAACAGTTCCCCAACCTATACATGCCTATTTTCAAACAGAGGAATATCAGGTTTTGACCCAACCCTCTAGCCATCTTAAATGCTAATTTAGAATCTTGACGGTTTTTCTTGTTCTCAGTTAAGTATGTATCAAAATTAAGCAGGTAATCCAGAAATAATATATGTATGGCCTCAACTGGATGAATACATGGATGAGTTGTCTAAGTATCATCACTAGCAGTATTCAAACAGTAAGTACAAGGAAAATAGATGACTTAAGGTAAAACAAACAAACAAACAAAAAATAGAAGGGAAAAGGAATTAAAATTAAAGCATCTTACAGGAGAACAAAGAATGCTAAAATACAGATATCTAGGCATAAAGGAGAAAAAAATGGGTATACAATTTTCCTGAAGTAGAACAGAAGGTGATTCTGGGGAGGAGGTAACTTAAGTAGGAGTCCTCAAGACTTAGGACAGAATCAACCCAAGAAAACTGACGGCAATCAGTTACTCCCAAGTTTGCAGCTAGATGCTGAAAATGATGGCACTGTTTCTAAATTAAGAATGCTTACTAGAAAAGAGCAGACTAGAACCTGGGTCTCAATTTCCAAGTTGATTTACATTTTTTGATTCCAAATTGACTTCTGGATGTAAGAAAATCTATATAAGATTCATACATATACAAACATTTTCATAGGACATAATTTGAAACAGATTAAAATTCAATCATGAGAAAATACCAAACTCCAATTAAGTATACTCTATAAAATAAGTAATCAACATTCATAAAAATGATGAGGTGATAAAGACAGAGGAAAAAATTGAAGGAGACTAAGAAAACAAAATGGTAAATTTGATGGGGATTCTAGATTAGATTCTCAAATATAAAAGGGTATAAAAACTAGTGAAATCTAAATAAATTCTACACTTTTGTCAATTGCATAATACCAAGATTTTTTTTTTTAACATAAGTATGCCGTAGTTATGTAAAATGTTAACCTAAGGGGAGACTAGATGAAGTGTATATGGCAACTTTCTGGAGTATAAAATTATTTCCAAATTTTAAAGAGTTGAAAAATTATTCAATTTCTCAGTCTTTTACTGAAATTATATATGTAAAGAAATGTTATCTAAGGTAAAACATTAAGAGTATAGTTCTGAGTAAAAAATAAAACTAGATTATTTGTTTTCTTTTTTTTTTTTGGAGACAGAGTTTCGCTCTTGTCACTCAGGCTCCTGGGTTCAAGAGATTCTCCTGCCTCAGCCTCTCAAGTAGCTGGGATTATAGGTACCCGCCACCAGGCCCAGCTAATTTTTGTATTTTTTTCTTAGTAGAAACAGGGTTTTACCATGTTGGCTAGGCTGGTCTCAAAAACACCTGACCTCAAGTGATCCATCCGCCTTGGCCTCCCAAAGTGCTGGGATTACAGGCATGAGTCACCATGTCCAACAAAATGAGATGATTGTTAACAGCACAATATGCACTCACTTTTATACAACATCTCTGAGATTACTTACTTGATAAATTTTAAAAGTTGGTCAGTTATCTTTTTAGCTGATCTTGCAATTACACTCTCAGGTTCATTAAATGTTCTGGCATTATGTTCTATATATCTGACTTCCCAAACTAACGCAGACAGCCTCCTTCAAAATAAAGTAAATAATTTTGGCTTAGAAAATGAGAAGATAGGAACCAAGTGAAAAAAATGCAGCATGTGAATTAAACAACTGTGAAATATTTATTAAACCGTAAGTGCAAAGTTATAATGAATAACATTCTAATGCTCTCAACAACTTAAGCATAGTCATAAGTAATTACGTTGGACACCAAAGCAATTATACTGAACTGAAGAAGGTAATCTGGGGACAAAAATGTTAACAAACTACTTAATCGCACACAGAAAACCAACAAAACTATCTTCCCTTTTCACATTGCATATAGGTACCTTTTAAAATTGTTGAATCTCAATAAAGACAACATGTTAAATATCATCAACACTAAAAGCTGGCCCAGCAAGGTGGCTCACACCTGTAATCCCAACACTTTGGTGGGCCAAAGCAGTAGGACAGCATGAGCCCAGGGGTTCAAGACCAGCCTGGACAACACGGCAAAACCCCATCTTTACCAAAAATAAAAATAAATTAGTTAGGCATACTGGTGTGCACCTGTTGTCCCCACTACTCAAGAGGCTGACGTGGGAGGACTGCTTGAGCCTGGCAGATTGAGGCTACAACGAGCTATCATCACACCACTATACTCCAGCCTGAGTGATGGCACAAGACCCTATCTCAAAAACAAACAAAAGCTTCAGTCTCACTGTAAACTGATCAAGTGGTTTCTGATTCAAATGCATATTCCACTATTAGATTACAGAGATAAATTACACCAATAATGTGGACTCAAGATGACTTTTCATAATCTCTTAAAGTAGCTGAATTATAAAAAAATAAAATACCATCAACTGCTATAAAAATCATTAAGAATAGGAAATTTACTTACCAGTGCTCTAGAAGCCAAAGATAAAAAGTCAGTGCCTCTGGGAAATTAATCTTCCAAAGGCCAAAGAGATCAAGTATAAACTATGTAAATATTATTTTTAAATGTAGTTAAATATAAATTTAAACATACGAAGAAAAAACAACACAATATCTAACAACTTAACAAAATTACTAAGAAAAACAGATTACTAAAGATTGAGGCTTTGTTGAAGCCCTGACTCTGACCCTCCTTTCTCCAGGACTCACCAGTCCCACAACCCTCAGCCTCCTACTGATGTCGAATGTGAGAGCCTGGGCTTAAATAAGAAATCAGACTTTACTAGAGACACTCAAGCAAAGGTTGAACTAGTACTTTCCAGAGCAGAAAGGAAACTCATGCATCAGAAAGGCCAGAAGTATATGGCTATATAAGTAAAAGAATCTAGTCAGAACAGTTTAAGGAATTTCCTGGGCCTACAGAAACCTGCTTTTTGGACTGTGTTAAAGACTTTACAACTAAAGACTGGAGAGACCACCTGTTCAGAACACTGCTTGTAGAAATATATTTTTTTGAACTTTTAAGTTCAGGGGTACAGGTACAGGTTTGTTACACAGGTAAACTTGTGTCACAGGGGTTGGTGGTACAGATTATTTCATCACTGAAGTATTAAGCCTAATATTCATTAGTTGTTTTTCTTGATCTCTCCTTTCTCTCACCATCCAAAAGGCCCCAGTGTGTGTTGTTCCCCTCTGTGTGTCAATGTATTATCATTTAGCTCCCACAGAAATATTTATTTATTGCTTAGACAGCGTCTCACTCCACCACCCAAGCTGGGGTGTAGTGGTGTGATCTTAGCTCACTGCAACCTCCACCTCCCAGGTTCAAGTGATTCTCCTGCCACAGCCTCCCAAGTATCTAGAAGTACAGGCGTGTGCCACCACCCCTGGTTAATTTTTGTATTTTTAGTAGAGACAGGGTTTCACCCACATGTAGGCCAGGCTGGTCTCAAACTCCTTGCTTCAGGTGATCCACCTGCCTGGGCCTCACAATGTGCTGGGATTACAGGCATAAGCCATGAGCCTGGCCTCCCGCAAAACAATTTTTAAATGACACAAAAAATATCCAGGAGATTTCAGGAATATCATATTCAGCAGAATGAAACCCTGGCAGCCAAAGCAAAACTCCTTGGCCAACCGCAATAGGTAACTCCTGATGCACGGACTTTTGATGAAAAGACTGCCAACAGCTGCTGCACTGGAAATGAGGATTCATCTGACAGAATTCCCTGGGAGCAGCAGCCACCCTGGTAAGCCATCTGTCATGAGTTTGGCAAATGAAAACCACTAGAGAAACAAAACCACTATTTACCAAATATAATCAAAACAGAAGGTCTTATTGTTCAGTGAAACAAGACACAACATTTATTAAGGCCTTAAGATTCTGCAGCTTGTTTACTTGATTAGAAAAACAAACAATGTTAATTTTAAAACAAATTATGTATTCAATCATGTATGGGGAGAGAAAAATTCTTATTACTAAAGTATCAGTGAAATTTTATGGAAATAGGTAAAAGTAAAATTTCAGTGATATGGAATATCGAGGGTGAAATATGGCAGTCAATCTTCTGCCTGGCCCTAGCCACACCTACCCATAGGCATCTAACACTATCTGACAATGAAAGTGGATAATGAAACAGAAAATGTTAGCCCCCAATTCCACCACTGTCTCTTCCTTTGTTTACGCTAGTTGATATGGCCAAATATAGCTTTTTAAACCATTCTGAAAGGTTTCTACTAACCTGTAAAATCGATTAACAAGTCTCATTCGAATTGTGTAAAGATCAGTTGGATAAGCTACTACAGTACAGTACTTCGGATATGTACACAGATCAACAGGGCCTGCAAAAGCAGCTGCTATATCTGTTAGAAAAGACAGGAAAATTTTTCATCAATAAATCTATTGCCTTTAAGTGGTACTTCTCTACAAACCATTCATAAGATATGGCTACATTTAACATTACAGGCTAAAAAAGATAAATAGAAAGTGTAGGAAAAAAACAAAACCTTAATTATGGTACTATTTTTAAACACCTCTATGAAAGAAATTGAAACCAAAAAAAATTTTCATCCTAAACAAAAAAAAAAACTTACCGAGATTCAAAAGTTGATCTATACCACTGATAATTCTATCACATTCTTCATCTCGTGATTTCTGACCCCATTCACCAGCTTGTGGTTTATAGAGCAATTTTTCTAGCTCATCTGATGTGACAGAAATACTAGCCCCCAATTCTTCAGGTGGGTCAACTATGAACACCATAAAAAACAAAATGAGGAGGGAAAAAACAACACAAAAAACAAATATATACTGTATGAATATTCGATTTTCAAAGCTTATAAACTAGGTTATCTCCACAGTCAAAAATATCGAGTTCAAATGTGCAACTCTTTTAAAATTACTCATTGAGATTAACAAATTACTAAAATTCAGGTACAAACACAATCTATCTACCCTAACAAATTAAAAATAAGGGTGCTGGTATTGCAGTTTTCAGTCTGTTTCTTCAAGGAGGCAAACTTAACCCCAAAGCCCCCTGAAAACAGAAATTAAACCTGACAATATTCAAAATTTTAATCTTATATACAGTTAAAATTAATTTTTGAAAAGTCAAGTCAAAATGGATTAGCACACAACAAATGGCTAATTTTCTTAAATTTTAAGGGAGCTCAAATGAAGGAAAATTGTATTTTTTTTAAAAATAAAGAGAAGCCAGGCATGGTGGCTCACACGTGTAATCCCAGCATTTTGGGAGGCCAAGTTGGGTGGATCACCTGAGGTCAGGAGTTTGAGACCAGCCTGACCAACATGGCAAAACCCTGTCTCTACTAAAAATACAAAAATTAGCCAGGCGTGGTGGTGCACACCTGTAATCCCAGCTACTCAAGAGACTGAGGCAGGAGAATCACTTGAACCCAGGAGGTGGAGGTTGTAGTGAGCTGAGATTGCACCACTGCACTCCAGCCTGGGTGACAGAGTAAGACGCCATCTCCCCCACCCCACCGCCCCCCACAAAAAAAGAAAGGAAGGAAGGAAGAAGGAGAAAATCTGTGGAAGCTCAATATATCATAGCTTATTGAAATTGAATACTGGTTCTAACATACGGATAAGAAATGTCATCTACTGTGTACTGGCTATTAGGTTAACTCAGAGCACATTCACAATGAGGGAACAAGGGCATTGGGAAGGGCATCATTTTAACAGCTGCTAAAATGGTAGAGAGAATGTTCATGGGAGCACTTCCTCTAGAAACATCAGTTAAGATTCCTGCAAACATACACACAAGTTTTATATTGTGCATTCTTTGTGAATGCTCTTAACTTTGATTTGATCTATTAGAATTAAGTCATATGATATAGTCTTCTAGCTGAGAGTTGCAAATTTCTTAAACATGGATGATAATTCCTATAAGCTTATAATTCATGTTCTTGGAAAAAGAAAAAGGATTTCCATTTTATTTTCTGCATGAACATAAAAGAAATGGGTGGGTGGAGATATCCCACTGCCTAATAAGTCAAAATGTATATTTTTATACTCTAATTCAGTTATGCTTTCAATATTTTATTTTATCAAAAGGAAGAGGAAAGATGCTGTATAAGCAGGTAACATAAAGTGCTTTAAAAAAAACACTGGTTTATCAAAGCCAGGATATGAGTTTAAATCACCTCAATACCATCTAAAAACTATGACTTTGGACAAGGCAGGGGTCGGGGGGGCGGTGTTTTAATGGGGAGAAAGGAGGTCTCACTATGTTGCCTGGGCTGGTCTCAAACTACTGGCCTCAAGCCATGCACCCTGCCTTGGCCTACCAGCAAAGCAGTGACAGTGAAAAGTTTCTATCTCACAGGGTTGTTGAAAGAATTTCATTACAGGTAGAGCACTCAGAAGAGTGCCTAGTACAGAGCAAGTCCCCAACAGTTAACTAGAATTTTTTTGTTTCTGTACCAGAAGAGTAATAGGGACTATATATATCATCCAGGCTGAAACAACAACAACAAACTGGATAGAGAAAACAATGGCTTTTCAGACATCGACCATTTGGCAAAGAACAAGAATCCCAGAGAGACTGAAACCAAATGAGGTGAGCCCTACGATTACAGCACCTTACACTGAAAGAGCAGGCAGGTCATAACATACAGGGGAGAAACTCAAGTGGGGCTAGACAAATTAACTGAGGTGAAGAGACAAAACTGAGAGTCCAGGGAGAACAAGAAAGCTAGAGTTCCCAGAACAAAGCACAATAGACAAGAGAGCTACAAAGGGGTCTCCTCAAATATTCTGGTGAACACCAATCAACCCACATGTGTGAAGAAATGACAGGAAGGCAGGAAAAGAACCAAATGAAAGATTTGTAATAACAAAAGCCTGGTGCACAAAAGGGCCAACAACCATGCCTGTTCCCCGAGTCAGATTCAAAAGCTTCATGATTCATAGAACAGTGGACAGACTGCATAAAAAGGTCTTGCCTCAGAAGTCAGAAGAAAATCAGCTCTAGGCTGAGCACGGCTCCAAACTCATCTGTCCTATCTTAAACAGATAAAACTGTTTCTGACTAACTTAATTGTGTGACAGAACAAAGTGTAATACTTACAGGAATATAATATACAGCACCCAACAAGGTAAAATTCACAACGTATGATATAAAATTTAAAATTGTAAAGGAGTTAATATATTAGGAAATACCCATAATGAAGAGATTAATCAACCAACCAGAATTGACACATGTTAGAATTAGCAAAGACATGAATGTAATAATATTCCACATGTTCAATGAAAACATATATAAATGGAAGACATGAAACACACACCCAAATCCAAGTTTTAGAGATGAAAACAAGAATAAGATGACAAGTATAATACACTGGCTGGTGATAAAAGCAAGTAAGACATTCCAAAAGAAAATATAAATATATGATATAAAAAGATTCAATGCCAAGCATGGTGGCTCACGCCTGTAATCCCAGCACTTTAGAAGACTGATACAGGTGGATCACTTGAGGTCAGGAGTTCAAGACCAGCCCGGACAGCATGGCGAAATCCTGTCTCTACTAAAAATACAAAAATTACCCAAGTGTGGTGGTGCACACCTGTAGTCCCAGCTACTAGGGAAGCTGAGGAAGGAGCAGAGATTGTGCCACTGCACTCCATCCTGAGTAACAGAGTAACACTATGTCTTAAAAAATAAAAAAATTTTAAAAAAAAAGCAAAAATGAACATATGTGTTATTATATAAATTTCTGAATTTATATAATCATTGAGGGAAAAAAATAATTCCTTTTTTTTTTTTCATAATATCTATTTAGTACCTAACTTGATGCCCCCCAAACAATGGGCATTCAGAAAATGTGCATGAAATAAATACGTGATGTGATGTTTTATTATTTATTCTATAAGAGTAGTTAATATTTCACAAAACGAAGCAATAATATTTTCCAAACATAAAACTAAAAAGATGCCTATGGAACAAATTCTACACTATGACATAGTGTAGACACAGCAATAAAAACTGAAGATACAGCAATAAAAGTTATCCTAATGAAACAGTAGAAGACAATAAAGCAAAAAAACTAAAACAAAAAAGAAAAGCCCATAAATATAGAGACTGTGTAAGGGAACAGAAGAAAATTATGATATCCAGAACTAATGGATAACACAATTAAAAATGAGGAAAGAATCTTAACGTTTCTCAGCCAGGTGCAGTGGCTCATGCCTATAACTTCACACCACTCTGGGAGGCCAATGCAGGCAAATCACTTGAGGCCAGGAGTTCAAGACTAGTCTGGTCAACATAGCAAAATGCCGTCTCTACTACAAAAATACAAAAACTAGCTGGGTGTGGTGGTACATGCCTATAGTCCCAGACACTCAGTAGGCTGAGTCATGAGAACCAGTTGAACCTGGAGGCTGTAGTGAGCCAAGATGGTACCACTGCACTGCACTCCAACCTGGGCAACAGAGCAAGACTCTGTCTCAAAAAAAAAGGCGGGAGGCAGGGGACGAAGGGAGGGGAGACCGAACATTTCTCCAAAGACATTTTAAATGACCAATAAGCAAAGGAGAAAATGCTGAGTATCATTAGGCATCAGACAAAAACAAATCGCAACAATAATACTTCCTATCACACTAGGAAGGTATAAGTTAAAAAAACAAAAGTGTCCAGGATGTGAAAAAATTGGAACCCACATATAATGCTGCTGTAAATGTAAAATGGTATACCTGCTCTGAAAATCATTTGTCAGCCCTCAAAAGGTTGAATAGAGTTACCATGTAGCCCAGCAATGCCACTCCTAAATACCTACCCAAAAGAAAGAAAAACTTGCACATGATATTCACAGGAGCACTACTCATCGCCAAATAATGAAAGCAACCCAAATGTCCATCACCTGATGAATGGATAAATAAAATGTGCTATATCCATACAATGGAATATTATTCATCAATAACAAGAAATATCTTGGTTTCTAAATGCCATTCTCCAATGAAACAGGCCATGGCCCCTGAAAAACTGCCTGATTCCACAGCTGAGGTAGGGAAAGTACAAGGTGAGCCTTGAACACTGCACAGTGCCAGAAACTATGAAAAAACTCAAAGATGGTTAAAAGAAAATGTCAAATGAACACAGGAGCCAACTAGAAGGGGTTCTCAGTGGCCAAAGCTATAATAAGGTAGCAACAAAATAATAAAAGTTAAGCAAAAATCTGAGTACATACTAATATAAATAGATGGGAAAGGAGAAGATGTATTTCATAGTAGAATTCTAACTAATACATGTCAGACAATGAAAACAAAAAATTATGGATGCTACAATTAGTGAGTAGGAGCAGGATAAGAAACAGGATTATTTGCAACATATAAATGTATCCTTATGAGACACCAATTACAAAGGAAAAAGTACTTTACACTGGAGAAGCCTGATACATACCCCCTAAATCAAAGTATTAAAGTTAACACTCAATAAAAAGACAAATTGACCTCGTGTGTCTCCTAAAATGATGCACTAAGAAAGACACGTTTACTTTTCTGACATTCTTGCCAAAAATGCAAAACCTGGATTTAATCAAGAAAAACATTAGACAAACCCAAACTAATGGAAATTCTATAAAATAACTGCCCAGTAATCTTCAAAAGCCTTAAAGTCAGGAATGACAGTGAAAAACTGAGGGATCCCAGACTAAAGGAGACTAAAACAACATGATAATTAAATACAAAATGTGAAAGAACATTAGTGAAACAACAGACAAAATCTGAAAAAAGTCTATAGACAATAGTATCACATTGGTAATAATTTCCTGATTTTTTTTTTTTTTTTTTTTTTTTTTTAAGACGGAGTTTCTCTCTTGTTACCCAGGCTGGAGTGCAATGGCGCGATCTCGGCTCACCGCAACCTCCGCCTCCTGGGTTCAGGCAATTCTCCTGCCTCAGCCTCCTGAGTAGCTGGGATTACAGGCACGCGCCACCATGCCCAGCTAATTTTTTGTATTTTTAGTAGAGACGGGGTTTCACCATGTTGACCAGGATGGTCTCGATCTCTTGACCTCGTGATCCACCCGCCTCGGCCTCCCAAAGTGCTGGGATTACAGGCTTGAGCCACCGCGCCCGGCCTAATTTCCTGATTTTGATCGTTGCATTGTGCTAACTGTATAAGAAGGGAAATCTAGGTATTCAGAAAATCCTTATACTATTTTTGTAACATTTTTAAGTCAGAAATTATCTCAAAATGAAGTTTTTAAAAGTGCTATAAAAATAATGGAAAGTACAATTGAAGAAAAATGTCAAAATGCAGATATTCAGAGATTTTCTTGAAAATTATAAATAAAAAGACAAACATCAAAGGATGTTACAAATCAGTAAAAACACTTACATAAAGAAAGCCTGGTGGTAAAAAAAAAAAAAAAAAAAAAAATGGAAGCAAGAGATATAGAGTACCCTTTCAAAAAGTTTTGCAGCTGGGCGTGGTGGCTCATACCTGTAATCTCAGCACTTTGGGAGGCCGAGTTGGACAGATCATTTGAGGTTGATTGAGTTGAGACCAGCTTGACCTACACAGTGAAACCCCGTCTCTACTAAAATACAAAAATTAGCCAGGCATGGTGGTAGCCACCTGTAATCCCAGCTACTTGGGAGGCTGATGCAGGAGAATTGCTTGAACCCAGTGAGGTTGCGGTGAGCCGAGATTGCGCACTGCACTCAAGCCTGGGCGACAGAGCGAGACTTTCTCTTCAAAAAAAAAAAAAACAGTATCACAAAAGGGAAATAATTCAGTAGCAAAAATGCTCAATGAAGTCAAATGTAAAGTATAAGAGACATATTCAAACCTGACTAGAGCAAGGTAAGTGGAAATTAAAACTGTTGGAGGGAATGAGCTAAGTGTAGGTACCAGGCCCTTGGAAGGTAACAGCAGTGGGGCAGTAGCACTGAAGGACAGGCTGGTTTTAAATAGTTGTCTTTTTTTTCCACAGGAAAAGAATAGAAAATCCATAATAAGAAACCTTGAGGTAAAGCAGAAGACACATGTAAGTCAAGTTCGATCTCTTCCTTGAAGGAAAGCCAAGGGTAAAAGATTAAGAATGAGATGGGAAAAATAGAGGCTACATGAAGGATCTACGTTTTCTGTGTTTTGTTTTTGTTTTTCTGAGACAGAGTCTCTCTCTGTTGCCCAGGCTGTAGTGCTGTGGCCCCGATCTTGGCTCACTGCAACCTCCAGCTCCTGGGTTCATGCAATTATCCTGCCTCAGCCTCCCAAGTAGCTGGGATTATAGGCACATGCCACCATGGCCAGCTAACTTTTTGTATTTTAATAGTTTCATCATGTTGGCCAGGCTGTTCTCGAACTCCTGATCTCAGATGATCAGCCTGCCTCCACCTCCCAAAGTGCTGGGATTACAGGTATGAGCCACAATGCCCAGCCAGGAGTTAAAAGTTTAAAGCAGGGTTACATTAGAAATGACAGCAGGCTATTTAAAGTACAGCCAAAATCAAGCTGGAATCTAAGGTCAAGAATTAACAAAACAGATAAACACGATGCTGTTGTCTTTTCAGTAAAGTTCAGTTGCTATAATAATTTGAATACATTGATCACAGAATACAAATGCATTTGTTCTGTGTACACTGGCAAACACACATATTATAAAAATAAAATGGTTTCACTCTTTAACAAATATATATACCATTATCAGGAATTGGTTCCATGTCCCAAGGGCTAAGTTTTTCAATTTCAGTATTATCCCACCTGTTTAAAAAAAAAAACAAATCTCTGGTTAGCCTTTCATGAAAACAAAATGTGAGTAACAGGTATCCATTATAAAAGTAAACAGAAGATACAAAATGTGAAAATTAACCTCACTGCAGCAGTACAATTTTAAATATTAACAGTAAATTTTTTTAAAAAGGATTTATTATTAAAATAACAGGTTTAAGAACAAAACCAGAAATCCTATGTGGCCTGCACCCAAAGTCTAACTCAAAGACAAGGCATGAAGCCTTGAATTCCATCACAGCCACAGTAAATGGTTTTTATTCCATTGCCAATGAAAAGGCATCAAAGGTTTCTTTGAAGAAGGTTAATGACATAATATCTGCTTCTGAACTATGACAGTGACAATATGAGGTAAAGGAAGTATGAGGTGGCTACAGAAATAGTTCCAGGGAGGCAAACAGAACCCGATCCAAAGGGAATACTAGCAAATAAGAAACAAAGAGCAGGTGCATGTCTGAGAGACATTTCAGGTCAGACTGACATGACTGAATGACAGATAAAAATCATGTTTTTTAAAAAAATCATTCATACAACAACCTGCCACACTGAATTATTTGTATATGATTAGTTTTCATCTGTATACAAACCTAACAACATAACACTGGAAATGACTATCAGGATACTGTGGTTGATATGGCTCTTGACTTAACACTGTTCCAAACCACCAAGCATCATCAATAATAGAGCGGAATCTGTCACCTATGAGAGAAATAATCAAGTCTGAGGCATGTCTTTGCTAACATTTATTAACAGTTTTTAATCTACAAAATATCATATAACACTGATTTAAAAAGCCAAAAGCACAATACAGAAACAGGCAAGCAGGCCTTAGAAGGGATTCTTAACAAACCAAGAAAAATATGGATTGAAAAATTTAACTGATAGATTAAATGAATTTCCAGATGTATTCTACAGCTCTAACACTTCAACCAGTGAAATAAACTGCACTAGATCTATGTTTAACATTCATTACAATAGAAACATGAACTGCTGTAGTAACTGCATCTCTTCCTTCATACCCTTCCTACCATTTACAAAACTAAACCAATTAAAACAACAATAAAAGTCACCTATCTAGCACTGATGATTCGTTGGTATATAGATCAACAGTTCTATATAAGTTTTATAGAAACGAATCAAAATTAAAGCTACAATTTATCCCCAAGAAAGAATATTTATAACAATGTATCTGGCAAATGGTCTTGAATAATTAAAGTATGTTTACAGTGAATTCTTCAAAAGTTTGAAAAAAATGATGCCACAACTACTACAACTACATGTTTTACGGTCTTTAGCATATTTTCAAATTTATGTAAACATGAGTTTTACACATATTTTACTTCAAAATCACTTGAAACCATACCCCCTGAAAGAAATTTAGGGACTATTACAGCTTTAAACTTACAATTTGAGATAAACCACACCATGATTTTGTCCCAACCTCTAATACCCTTATTTAACATAAATATGAATTACAACTGATTGTAATAATTATTGTAATAAAATCAACTGCCTCAATTTTGAGTCCTAATATAAAAACATGTTAGAAGAGAGCAAGTCTTTGATACAAAAAATTAACTGTATATTTTTCCTCCTATTCACCTAATACTAGACGATAATTTCAATTTGGATGAAAATATTTCTTCATATAAAACCATCCCCTTTAAATAAAAAGGAGCCTTTAAAAATTAAGTTTTTTCATAATTAAAGTGTCTCTTCTACATTTCTGCTAGCTGTTCACGCTGGTAATCTTAAGATTTTTCAAATAAACCTACTTTAGCCTTTCAAGAGTAGGATAAAAATCCACTGTAAAAATGAAAACAAACAACTTCCTCTTGCCATTCTACTCAAATCCATGCAAAAAGCTAAGATTTTACAGGGAGCAAAAATGAATTACAGTATAATAGATCTGGCTCAATAATTTCTCAACCACAAAAATAAAACAAAAACCACTAAATTACAGGAGGCATCTGGGACTCCATCTCTGGAGTTTAACTGTAGATAATTCAGTTTAAAAAAAAATTAATGGACATGTTAACAAAAATGAGAGCCACTTACACCTCATGGAGGTTGGAAAATCATAATAGCTGGGAAACTTTACAGTTCTTTGGGACACAACTATACAACCTGCTAATGTTGCTTCATGTTATTTTTGTGGCTGTATGTTTTTCTTCAAGAAAAATTTTCTCTGCATCTACTCCCAAAATAATCCTGATTCCTTGTGTAGATGTTACCAGGAGAATAGTCTATAAAGAGGAGCCACACACCCTGACGATCTTTCATGTCAAATGAGGATAATTAGGAACGATATCTAAAATTTAACTTCTTGTAGTACCCACAGAAAAAGGCAGCAGTGGCCAGATATGGTGGCTCATGCCTGTAATTCATACACTTTAGGGAGGCTGAGGCAAGAGGATCGCTTGAGCCCAGGAGATCAAAACCAGCCTGGGCAATACGGCAAGACCACACGTCCACAAAAAACTTAAAAATCAGCTGCATATGGTGGTGCACACCTGCGGTCCCAGCTACTCAGGAGGCTGAGGTGGGAGAATCGCTTGAGCCCAGGAAGTTGAGGCTACAGTGAGCTCTGATTGTGCCACTGCCCTTCAGCCTGGGCAACAGAGAAAGACTCTGTGTCCAAAAAAAGGAAAGAAAGAAACTGCAGTAACTAGAATGATCAATGAGGTCTTAACATTATTTATGAATGTGTACACTAGATGACACAGCCTGGATAAAAGAATATTTTTAACAAAAATCCAAGAACTGATAAAAGAATGAACCATCCTACTTCTAACTCAATACATAAGCTCCCAGGATAGCATTACACACTGAACATATATATGTACACCTGTGAAACAGGTACTATAGTTATTACTACCCAGCCTAATTATATTCAAATCCTGAGATTAATGACCTATACAACTCTGAATAAGTGAACCCTCCTTAAACGATCATCACAAAAATCACATTGGAGTAATTTAGTACCTACTACCTACACTAAATTACCTACATTGATGTAATTTTAATTTTTCTGTCCACCTATACATTACATGGTTATAAAGCATAAGTATATATGAAATTTTTATTTCTTAACAAAATAGTGTCAAGTCTTCCCATTTAAGTCTACATTGTTATAACGCCAAAGGTAAAATATGTGGGTATATCAGAACATTTTCGGTGTGAAATCTGAAATTACTTTTCAACCTTCTGATCATTTTAGATCCTGGTAAAATTGTGTAAATTATACCAATGTTACATCAAAGATAATTATATACAATATGGTACAGGGAAGTCTGAAAGGAAATAAATCTACTCTAGCCTATAATCAAGGAATGAAAATAATCTTTTCCAAATGTCATGAACAAAAGAACAGGAGAAAGTCTACATAACTGGGCAGGGCGTGGTGGCTCACGCCTATAATCCCAGCACTTTGAGAGGCAGAAGTGGGTGGATCATGAGGTCAGGTCAGACCAGCCTGGCCAACATGGTGAACCTCTGTCTCTACTAAAAATACATAAATTAGCTGGACGTGGTGGCGCACGCCTGTAATTTCAGCTACTCAACAGGCTGAGGTAGGAGAATCACTTGAGCCTAGGAGGTGGAGGCTGCAGTGAGCTGAGATCATGCCATTGTACTCCAGCCTGGGCTACATAGCAAGACTCTGTCCCCTTCCCCACCATCCCCTCAAAAAAGTCTGCATAATCAGTAAGTACCAAGCCGTAAGCAAAATACACTTATAGGTCACTAGATCTCTTCCAGAATTTACATGTTTGTATACACTATAATTGAGTCCCACAGCCAAAAAGATCAATAAAACATGATATTTTTAAAGATAAACAAAACTTAGTAAGGATAGACTTACAAGACTGCCAATTCCTCTGTCTTGCTTCATCATAAAATTGACGCAGTACAAGAAAGTCAATAACATCTGGCATATCATGGTATCTAAACAAAAATTTTAAAAATTATTAAATTCTACATAGCAAGTTATATAGTCTAAAAGCAATACTGTCCAAAAGAAACACAATGAGATCTACAAATGTAGTTTTTAATTTTCAATCAGCTATATTTTAAAAAGTAAAAACCAGTAAATGTTATATTTTAAATATATCCTCAATATTTCAATATATAATCAAAACAAAATGAGATGTCTTACATATTTTTTTCATAGCCATTCTTCAAAACGCAGTGTGATATTCACAACACACTCAGTTCATTTTTTTCTTCTTTAAAAAATGTTTATGCCTCATACTCTGCCAAGTCTCATATAACACATTCAATTCAAATCATCCACATTTCAAGTGAGCAATAGCAAATGTGACTAGTGGTAACCATATTAGACAGCACAAGTATAGGAAATTATTTATTCTGAACTTTTTCAAAAACAAAGGCAGAAACAATTTTGCCTGTATGTCAAAATTCTCCACCCATGTAAGTGGCATGAAAACCATCTAAAACAGACTGCCCACACTTAACTATTGCTGTGACATGCCTACTGTGACTTCAGGGTTAGGGGAAGGTTTCCTAGCCATTAGAAGCTTGAGCCACATCCTAGGCTGTCCAGTGTTACCCTGGACCTACATAGGAAGGGCATACTAATCATTATATCAGGAAAATGGCAAATTTAAATTTACATAACTCCATTTTTTAAAATAATACATACCTAATAGAGAAAGACTTGTCCATAAGTTTTCCAGTTGCTGGATCTATAAATGCTAGTTTGAGGCAACAGAGTGTAGGAGGCCCAACTTCATATCGTATTCCAACTATTTTAACCAATTCTTGATCCTTTAACAGATATATTTTTCAAATGGTTAAAATAAAAGCAATTCCTTAATACTGTAATTCTCCATGTATTGTTACATTAAGTAAACTCATATTTTAGGCTTCAAACCAGCATACAAGCTTAATACCATTAATTACATTCAATTTTGCTAAAGTTAATCTCCACATCTTTAATAGTTTCAAGAACATCATCTAGAAATCATACCATAAAAGTAAAAGACTGAAAACACAAATCTCTGATTAGTGCAATATATAAAGAGAACCACTGCTACGAATCTAACACATTTCCTCCTGGCTTTGTTTTGGAAACAGGGTCTCACTCTGTTACCTAGGCTGAAGGGCAGTGGTACAATCATAGCTCACTGCAATCCTGAACTCCTGAGCTAAATCAATTCTCCCACCTCAGCTTTCCAAGTAGCTGGAACTACAGGTACAACATGCCACCATACCAAGCTAATTTTTTATTACTTGTACAGACAGGGTCTCCCTATTTTCCCCAGGCTATTCTCAAACTCCTGGGCTCAAGTGATCCTCCCACAACAGCCTCTCAAAGTGCTGGGATTATAGGTGTGACCTGTCACACCCAGCCAATACACATTTTTATTTATATAGTTTTATATTATGCAGTGAAAATGTATAAACATTTTGCTTATTCATAAGTATACTTCAAAATACTGATATTAAATTTCTGTCTAACATATTCAGTAAGTAATATTTGTTAAGAATCTACCATATGCTATGACCTCTTCTAGGCAGTAGGGACAGGACAGTAAACAGGTGAAAGTCCCGACCTGGATGGAGTATCCATCAAATGGATTTGCCATAGTCAACCTTCCCCGCATTGTCTGCTTCTCTGATACTAGGAATACAACAGATCATTCATCCACTTATTCACTGAACAAATATTATTATTATAATGTACCAAACAAAGTGCTAGGCATAGTTCTCATTATTCACAGTAGTTATGTTCTATAAAGTCACCTAGAACACTGAAATAAAATACCAAATCATTGCTAGAGAGGAAATATAGGGATAGGTTCCTGCAAGATTCTGGTCAAAGCACTGTAGTAAACCAATGCATACATAACCTATTAAATGTGTCTCTGTTTAAAGGTAACTTATTTAATATGTTGTTGATTTGCAAACATTTACCTGAATGAAGCTTTTCTAACATACTTTCTCAGTAAGGCACATCACAGCTTTCTAGTACTTAAGGACACTAGACAGCACATCAGCACTATGCTTAGGGGCCATTTTAAACAGCAAAGTCACCAACAAAAATGGAAAACGTGGCACTGAATAGGCCATGAAAAGGACACTTGTTTGCACTGCAAGAGTTTAAAAAAGAAGGCAGAGTAACACCTTGTTCAACCTGAACTAGAAACATGCTCATCAGGCAAGTCAAACTTTTTGCCACCCTGAGCATGTCCAGAAATGACCGGAAGGCTCTGACAGTACTGTTTTGGGGATTAAAAATAACTTACAGCAAGTATGCAGTTCACAAATCAGAATCCAAGAATAATGAGGATTGACTGTACTTAGATATACAGTCATAAGTTAAACAGACATAAATAAAACTGCAAATGTATATAAAGCCTAACTCATAGAAGCAGAGTCATTAAGTTGAATATAAGTGTTAAAAACAGCTATCTTTGTTAAAATAACTACTTTTTTTCATTTTCTAAGTTTTAAAAGCTATCAAATATGTGTAGAAAAAAATATAAAAAATAAAATCATGGTAATACTACTCCACAGATCATCACCACTGACATTTTGATATTGTTCTTTTGATTGGCTGCAAATGTTTTTAAAATTTTGCTAACATAACCAGAAATAGCATTTCACATCCCTTTTTCCTATTAGTAATACACCTGTGAAAATGTAGCCATCATTCACTCAACAAATATTTTCAATCTTCAAAGAACAAGATGTATAGTACATAGTAACTGATTGTGTGACTGCACCATGATTTGATTTATTCACTACTGTGGAAAGCTGAATTTTTTTTTTCCAATTTTATTTCTACAAACAGTGAGTGAACTACCATACTCATATATTTACAAGCATTTCTGCTTGTTTTCCAAATTACCATAGGAGTAAAACCACCGACTTAAAAGTTCCAAATATTTTTCAGTTTCAACTCCTATTGCCAAAATAGCCCCTAGAAAGCCTGGACCACATCACACACCCCACCAGCGATCTGACTAACTGTTAACCAACATCTTTGCCACTTGCTAAACGTGGTATTTTCTTTCTTGAGCTAAAACAAACAAACGAAATCATAAAATTGGCTAAGTATTGATAAGGCAAAATTATTATTTCCTTATTTTATTATCCATGAGGTTATATCCTTCTTCCAACTTTTATTTCTTCTTTTGGAAACTTGTATTTCTTCCTTTGAAAATCTCTCCTGGGTATATAGACATTTTTAAGATTGATAATATATACTGCTAAGCTGCCTTCCTGAGACTCTGGGTTGTTGCATTTAACATTTTACATACCAATCAGCAACATACAAATTTTGCCCACTGACAAACAAGCCATCCCCACAGGATCTTAAGGTTTGGTTATAGCAGAAATGTTAAGTAGGAAAGAATGTAATAAAATATGTTTCCAGCAGGTTTTTATATAGATCTGTAAATAACTATATATGTGCTAAAATGTTTAACAATTTAATAATGTCATCATCCTACCCTAAGATCCATTTTTCTCCATGGCTCCTTATTAGGGTTCAGTTCATAAATGTTATTTCTTCTCACAGCCTCAATATAAGCTTCATGACCCTGTCGAAAATATATAACCTACAAAAGGGAAATATGCATTTAAAAATTAAGAGCAATGTAAGTTTTATGTTCCACATTCATGTTCTTAAATTTTTATTACTCTCACCTCATCACCCATTTGAGGAACAAAAGGAGATTTTCTAAGTGTGGTGTCAGTAATCCAAACTGGAGGATGAAATTCATATAAATGTTCCATATTTGCAAGCTCTGCTGGAGTCATCCTCCGCAAATTCTACCAAGGGGAAGAAAATAAAATTTCTCAGATTAGAAAGGGGCAGCATGCACTGTTTGAATGAAAAATAAAAGAAACATCACCATTCGGAATGACTATTTTTGCCACGTCCATCTAATGTTAACTTTCTTCACAGCATGTACATTTAGTTCCTTGACATACACAGGAATATATCACTTATTAAAAGCATTGTAAATCTACCTAACATTTTCCTAGTATCATCTCCTAAATTTCTGATAGATTCTTCATGCCATTTTGCATCCAATTGTAGAGGGCTAACACCTAACCTAAATCCTCTTTTACGCATAGCCTGTTCTGCCAAGACTCCACTCTTGAGCTTGGGCACAGGTTAATCATCACAAGCCAGTCTCCTCTTGATTTTAGGTTGTAAGACTGGTGATTTGAAAATATGCCCACAAATTTCCCAATAGTTCTCCCCTCTTCAAGAAGTGGAAATCTTCTCAAGTGTGGACTACACTTAATGACTCACTTCTGCCAAATATAATAAAGCAGATGAGACTATGTACAACTTCTAAGACTAGGTCATAAATGGCACTGGGGCTTATCCCTTGCTATTGTTAGATCCTTCATTGAGGAAAATCATAATGACACTTCAAGCAGCCAGCTAAGGAGAGGCCTGTGTGGCAAAGAACTGAGGCCAATAGCCATAGGATAAGCTCAGAAGAATATCACCCAACCCCTATCAAGTCCTCAGATGACCGCAACCCCAGTCAACATGTTGTAACCTCATGAGCCAAAATCACTCAACTAATCGCCTTTCCAATTCCTGTTCCACTAATACATGAAATATTCAATGTTTGCCATGTAAACACCTAAATTTTAGGGTGATTTGTTATACACAGCAATAGATAAATACTAAGACTTAACATCTTTAAACAATGAATACCTGAGATCAGCACAGTATACACAAATAAACAGGAATGACATTACAAGGAAGAGACAAGCATGAAGACAGACATGTAAAATGAAAATGGTAAATGTGGCAATAACACACACACACACACACACACACACACAGAGAGAGAGAGAGAGAGAGAGAGAGAGAAAAGCACCTTAAAATTTCTTTTTTTAAAAAAAAGTTTACATGTGACTTCATTCATAAAGTGTATCAAAGTCAATCATAAAACAATATAACAATCATTTAAACAAACAATCAAAAGTCTCTAACTGGAATTAATACATATATTAATACTAGATCCTGGGGAAACAACAATGAAAGATGCAGAAGCATTCCTGGTCCTCATGAAGCTTATGCAAGGACAACACAGAAGGAGCTTATTTTCGGGAAGCTAACCTCTTAATGGAGGGATGAAACTTGTTATCCTGTATATTATTAAGGAGGCATGGAAAGCTTAGGGAACAATTACATTAAAGCGACATTTGACACAGAGTAAAGCTGAAGTGGAGAACCACAGCTTTTGATTTGATAAAGATAACCTATATTCTACTCCAAGACTTTAGGTACTCTCAAAAAGTAAGTAAAACTTTATTTTTACTTATCCCTTTGTTGAGACACTTAAACCTGAAATTAAGCCAAAAAGCATGAGACTCTAGAAAACTCACACCCACTCAATCAACCAAGAGTATCTACAATCTAAATGGGGCAAAAGATTTCAATAGCACAGTCTTGATCTAAAAGTCTTAGAGGCAAGAAAAAAAAAAAAAAAGATTTCAATAGCACTAACAGCTCAGGGAACATGTTAAACCTCTTCTTTTACATCCAGAAAATCAGAAAATTGGGCTAAACACAATATATTCCAGACGGTGTTTAAAATTATTTGTGTAATTTAAGCTTGTCAGTTTAAAGATGCCTTTATACCAACGCTTCATATCATCAGTGAAAACTGTTTATCAAGAGGGAGCAGTATGGGCTATAGAAACAACATGAACCAAAATCTCACACTTAATCTTTTAACATTACTGGAATTTCAGAGTGAGTAAATATGACTAAAAATTACAGCAACAGCCAGGCACAGTGGGTCTACACCTGTAATCCAAGCACTTTGGGAGGCTAACGCAGGCAGATCCTCTGAGGTCAGGAGTTCAAGACCAGTCTGGCCAACATGACAAAACTACATCTCTACTAAAAATACAAAACTTGCCGGGCGTGGTGGCTCAAGGCTGTAATCCCAGCACTTTGGGAGGCCGAGGCGGGCAGATCACAAGGTCAAGAGATCGAGACCATCCTGGCCAACATGGTGAAACCCCGTCTCTACTAAAAATACAAAAAAATTAGCTGGGCGTGGTGGCACATGCCTCTAGTCCCAGCTACTCGGGAGGCTGAGGCAGGAGAATTGCTTGAACCCGGGAGGCAGAGGTTGCAGTGAGCCAAGGTCGAGCCATTGCACTCCAGCCTGGCGCCTGGTGATGGAGTGAGACTCTGTCTCAAAAAAAAAAAAAAAAAAAAACACAAAACTTAGCCAGGGTTGATTGTGTGAGCCTATAGTCTCAGCTACTTGGGTGGTTGAGGCAGGAGAATCACTTGAACCCAGAAGGCAGAGGCTGCAGTGAGCAGTGATTGTACCACTCCACTCCAGTCTGGGTTACAGACTCTCAAAAAATAAATAAATCACAATGATGGGACAAAGTACTGCTTTGTTTTAAAACTGCAATGTGTTTTGTCTCCAAGACCTTAATCGACATCCTCAATGACAGCATTCTTATAAATGATAGCCAACTGTAGGTCCTTGCTGTGGTTTCTCTTGTGTAAGCATGTGCATCTTTCTAAGTATCATAGTGAACATTACTCACAGTAAACTGCCTCTCCAGCATTGCTAAAAAGTTGTTATTCCATCCACAGGGAATTCAGCAAGCTAAAAGAATCATGGAGTGATTGCTACAGAGATGGCTCAGTGTTTGAAAAAGATCTTTGAATCTTATATTTAGCTGATATCATATCTTCTTATATAATATCAGCTCCAAGTATCAGGTCAAATTCTCTAGGAGAACAACTCCCCAAATTCTTTCCCTAAGTCAGCTCCTTAACAAAAGCTTTGTGTTAAATGTAAGGAGGTAAATTGCCTTGAACATTTGACTTAGAAAATTCTAATGCTACTTTTCGATCTGTGATAGTCACGAGTACCAAGCACAGCAGCCACTATACCCATCAGCCTTGTGCCAGCACCCGGCTGCAGGGCAGCCGAAGAGCTCCACAGCTCCCATCTCCAGATAATGTGGAGAGAATCATGGCCACATCCCAAACCACTGCTGCAATTCCCAGTTGTCTCCAGTCTTGCTGAATCTGTGTCATGTGGTTCACAAAGGTGGCAAGAGGCTTGTGGAATTTCTGCAACCCCAAACCCTCAAGTGTCCTCATAGGGTACCAGGGCCATTCTGCCCGACCCAGCCCTCTTATCACACCTCCACTTAGACTAGATAAGCTTGAGATTATCCTGCCTTTTGATACAGCTAGAAACATACAATCATGGCAGTACCATCTCCTCAAGACTAGAAGTGAACAATACTGGTGGACTCCAAGTCTCTCACAGGGAGACCAGGGCCCTGGTCCTGCAAAGGGTCAAAGGCCTCCCCCATAAGTCCCACTATACCTGCCCTTACCCATCCCTCCAAAGGGGCTGACAGATGCTCCCTTCCCTCCCACAGGTCCCAGGGCTCCTGCTATCCATGAGGGTTGACAGTAGGAAACAGGGGAGTCCACAGTGTCCTTCAGGATCCCCAGGACACACAGGGCACCTGCTGCACCCTGGGAGTGCAGTGAGCTTCCCAATGGAGATCTAACAGCTTGCCCAGCCCAGCCCGAGAGTGGGGCACAAGGCACAACCATGGCAATATCAGGATAAATGTTAAAGCAACATTTGAAACACAATAAAGCTGAAGCATCACAATACATGCTATTTTTAAAGATACACTTTTCTTACCTCTTTTGTAGGCTTATTTTCTTTCTTTCTCTTTCGTCTTCTTTTTGGAGGAGATACATTCTCAGTAGATATTTCATCTTCTGAACTACTACAAAATCGAGTAATTCGTCGACGACATGATGTTCTTAAAGGAGGCTGCAAATTGATGCCTGCATCAGCTGTCCAATCGGAATATCTAGATGAAGAATCACTAGGAAAGGGGAGTGCTTCAAGTTAAATGAAACCAGAATATAAGCACTGATAGCAAGTCAATCATGTAAAATTGAGAGAACAAAGAAATGAGAAATCAAGGGAAGGGAAGACACTAGAAAGATTTAACTCGAGCATTCTCTTCTCACTACTAACAACTACTGAAGTGACTGAAGATCATGACAAAGAGAAAAAGAGAAATCTCCACTAACACTAGAAATTAGGAAAGAATATAAGCCTGAAAAAAAGATTTAGGTATACTGCGGATAAAATATGATGGAAGACAACTAACAATTACCCCTTCAGGAAACAAAACACAGACTTATAAAAACAGTAAGAATCATACAAAACCCCAAAACTAAGACCCACCACTGCCCCCATGTTGGAGGAAGCCAAGGTATAGACCAGGAATTTCAACTGGAATCAGAAGCCATCAATGAATACACTGAGAAGCCCAAGGGAAGCACAGCTACATCAAACTGAAAGCCTTAAGTATTCAGTTTCTTCCCAAGAGGAATCTCCCTGATATGACAGAAATCTAAGAAAGCGACTAGTCCTAGCTACACCTTAGCAAAAGCAGAGTCAAAGAGGAAACTAGTTATAGAAAACTAGTCCCTGGACCACTACTAACTTCACCAGACAGAAAAAATAATAATAAAGGTCTCTATTTGGGCATTCTTGGCCCAACTTCAACTATACACCTTTTAAACTCTATCAAATACACACATAAACACATTACAAATATAAAAAGGTATTTATTATTTAAAAAAAAAACTAAATAAAGCTTGCTTATAAAAATTATAGGAGCATCTGTTTTGGATAAATAAAATTCAAGAAAAGTTGAATTAAAAGACAATGAAGACACAGGGTAGAATAGTAATTGCCAGGGATATGGGGAAGAGCAAAGTAAAGAATTGTTTTTTAATTGGTATAGAGTTTCTGTTTTGCAAGATAAACAAGGTTCTGGAGATTGGCTACACAACTATGTCAATGCATGTAACAGTACTGAACTGCACATTTTAAATGGTTATGCTATTTCTATTAGACATATATTTTACCACAATTAAATTTGTTTGAAAAAAGACAATACACTTACCTTCTTTAAAAAAAAAATCATTCTAGCTCATCATAATAAGGTAAAAGAAGACAACAAAGGAAGCAGGGAGTATGTGATAATGGTTTGAACCAATGCAGTACCAATAAAAATAAAAAAAAAAGAAAGACGATCTGCGTGATATTCGGGAAGGAGAATTTTCTAGCCATGTTATGGATAAGTAGACGAGAGAGACTATAGTCCACTTTTCTGGGCTGAACATCTGTTGAGATGAAGGTGACATGCACCATTATGAGAATCTGAGGCTGACATTTTGCCCCAGGAAATTTGGTTCTCAAAAGTAACAAAAAAGCAACACATGCAATAATAATGAATATACTTGTGGTTTTACCACACATTAACTTTAGATACTAGTCTTTTTGAGTGCAGCCAAGATTGAATTTATATTTTCAGTATGCATGTTCAACAATGCTGTGTCAACTGCTTAAAGTCAACAAAAAGCTCCTGAAATACTCCTATAGTAACAGCTGTTAATCTAGTTTTTGTCTCCTTTCAAAAAAAAACTGTTCCACAGTTGCAAATGCTTGCATCTTGAATAAAATTCAAGTATGATTTCATCCATGCTATGACTAAAATGCTTTAAAAATTGTAACAATTAAAAACAGATACCTTGAACTTTCGCTGTAACTTTCACTTTTTCTATCACTTCTCCATTCATCTTCTTCCGAAGAACAAGAACCTTCACTTTGATCACAGGAAGTCTCCTAATTTGTGAACGGGGGGGAAAAATATCTTGATCCCTGAAGTTAAATAATACATGTCCAGAAAAAAAGCTGTACAGAATCCTCCCCAGTAAGATTAAATCATCTAAGAAAAATGAACAGTAATCAGTTAGTAAAAATATAATTAGATAAACTTAAAAGGCAAACTTCTTCACTATATCCTTTACTTTTCAAAGCATAAGACAGCTGGGCACGGTGGCTCATGCCTGTAATCCCAGTACTTTGGGAGACTGAGGCAGGCGGATCATGAGGTCAGGAGTTCGAGACCAGCCTGGTCAACATGGTGAAACCCCGTCTCTACTAAAAATACAAAAATTCAGCAGGGCATGGTGGCGTGTGCCTGTAATCCCAGCTACTCAGGAGGCTGAGGCAGGACAATTGCCTGAACCAAGGAGGCGGAGGTTGCGGTGAGCCGAGATCACGCCATTGCACTTCAGCCTGGGTAACAAGAGCGAAACTCCGTCTCAAAAAAAAAAAAAAA